ATGTACTGATTTTAGTAAAATCAGAAAAGTAATGTGAATGATCATGCAATGAATGTGAATGATAATACAGTGACTATCCAACTAATTAGGTTTTAATGCGTTAATTATCAAGATTCGCCCTTGTAAATGAGCTAATACATTAGCAAATTGTAGGATTTTTTATTCTCGTTTTGTCGTGTTTCAAAAACGTATAATTAATGTTTACATAACTGTCGAAATAATACGGATTGTAATAATGTAATTTACGTTAAATGACGGTGATTTTTAAATAACCTGAAAATTGGCCAGAGTTACACCGGTTAACTTCTATGTCTTTTTTTGATTACTTGCCGAAATGTTTGATTTAAGTGAAACATGGGTGGATATGTCCGCAGAGTGTTAATAGAGTATTTTTGAAAAAGAAATCGAATACTTTCTCACAAGGGATCGAACACCTCACTCAGTGAGACAATGTTGCGCATGATATAGTAGGTTATTTATTTATAATCAACTGAGATTGTATCCTGGACATATGGTACACTGGGCATATGATACACTGGCATATTGGTATCCTAGGCATGTGATGCCCTTAATGATGCACGTACCCTTGACACATGGGCACCTTTAATCACGTGGGTACCATAGAGAATTTAGGTATCAGTGAACATATCTCATTCTGGCTCACCTGGTCACCTGTCGCTTGGTAGCCTCAGTTATGTGGGTGTGAGAACATCATTTAGATACTGACACTTGGCCTGGCACCACCTGGTACTGCTAGTACCACCATGTACTAATGGCACCACCATGTATTGCTGGCACCACCATATACTGCTGGCACCACCATGTACTGCTGGCACCACCATGTACTGCTGGTACCACCCATAGTATTGCTGGCACCACCTGGTGCTGCTAGTACCACCTAGTATTGCTGGGGCCACCTAGTACTGCTTGTACCACCTAGTACTACTGGTACCACATAGTACTGCTGGTACCACATAGTACTGCTGGTACCACCTGGTACTGCTGGTACCACATAGTACTGCTGGTACCACCTAATACTGCTAGTACCAACTAGCACTGCTGATACCACCTGGTACTGCTGGTACTGTGGTAGGACCTCCGTTCTTGACAGACCTTAATGCTGGTAAAGGACTCGAGAAGATAAGAACTAGAGGTACCATTCCCTCGGATCAAACCCGATTACCAATTATATCCCCAAAGCGTTGTGGTAACCCTTACGTGTTTAGCGCTTCCCGGTGACCTTCAGCATCACAAGTCATGGCAACACTGCCTACAAGACCCCGATAGACCCGTAGAGGCCCATAATGCTCCATAATGGTAGGTGATCAGGGTAGATTCGAAAAAGAGGATGGTAGCTCCCATTCCTTGGATCATGAGCATATGAAGCAGCAACCCCCCCCTCCCCCCATTTCAAGAGGCTCGTAATTAGATTTTTCTTAAATATTTCCAAGAACTACAATATCTTCTCAAAACGTTCTTAATGACTTAGTATTCTCCCTCCTCCAAAAACAGAAATAACAGCGGCCATGTTGGCGGTAATGTTGGCGGTCATGTTGGCGGTCATGTTGGCGGTCATGTTGGCGGTCATGTTGGCGGTCATGTTGGCGGTCATGCTAACGGTCATGTTGGCGGTCATGCTAGCGGTCATGTTGGCGGTCATGTTGTCGGTCATGTTGGCGGTCATGTTGGCGGTCATGTCGGCGGTCATGCTGGCGGTCATGTTGTCGGTCATGCTAGCGGTCATGTTGGCGACCATGTTGGCGGTCATGTCGGCGGTCATGCTGGCGGTCATGTTGTCGGTCATGCTAGCGGTCATGTTGGCGACCATGTTGGCGGTCATGTTGGCGGTCATGCTGGCGGTCATGTTGGCGACCATGTTGGCGGTCATGTTGGCGGACATGTTGGCGGTCATGCTGGCGGTCATGATGGCGGTCATGTTGGCGACCATGTTGGCGGTCATGTTGGCGGACATGTTGGCGGTCATGCTAACGGTCATGTTAGCGGTCATGCTAACGGTCATGTTGGCGGTCATGCTGGCAGTCATGTTGGAGGTCATGCTAACGGTCATGCTGGCGGTCAAGCTAGCGGTCACGTTGGCGGTCATGCTAACGGTCATGTTGGCGGTCATGCTAACGGTCATGTTGGCGGTCATGCTGGCGGTGATGTTGGCGGTCATTTTGGCGATCATGCTGGCAGTCATGTTGGCGGTCATGCTTGCGGTCATGCTAACGGTCATGTTGGCGGTCATGCTAACTTTCATGTTGGCGGTCAAGCTGGGGGTCATGTTGGCGGTCATGCTGGCGGTCATGTTGGCGGTCATGCTAACGGTCATGTTGGCGGTCATGTTATCGGTCATGTTGGCGGTCATGCTGGCGGTCATGTGGGCGGACATGTTGGCGGTCATGCTGACGGTCATGTTGGCTGTCATGCTGGCGGTCATGTTGGCGGTCATGCTAACGGTCATGTTAGCGGTCATGCTAACGGTCATGTTGGCGGTCATGCTGGCAGTCATGTTGGCGGTCATGCTAACGGTCATGTTGGCAGTCAAGCTGACGGTCATGCTGGCGGTCATGCTAGGCGGTCATGTTTGGCGGTCATGCTGACGGTCATGTTAGCAGTCATGCTAACGGTCATGTTGGCGGTCATGCTGGCGGTCATGTTGGCGGTCATGCTAACGGTCATGTTGGCGGACATGATGGCGGTCATGCTAACTGTCATGTTGGCGGTCATGCTGGAGGTCATGTTGGCGGTCATGCTAACGGTCATATTGGCGGTCATTCCGGCAGTCATGTTGGCGTCATGTTTGCAGTCATTTGGCGGTCATGCTAAAGTGTCAGTTGGCGGTCATTGCTAGCGTCATGTTGGCGTCATGCTAGCGGTCATGTTGGCGGTCATGCTAACGGTCATGTTGGCGCTCATGCTGGCGGTCATATTGGCGGTCATGCTGGCGGTCATGTTGGCGGTCATGCTGACGGTCATGTTAGCAGTCATGCTAACGGTCATGTTGGCGGTCATGCTGGCGGTCATGTTGGTCCTTAATTAACGCTCAAAGTGTGTAAATATTGAAACTGAAATATTAAAAGAAAAATATACGAGAGGGAGAGAGAGAGAGAGAGAGTGAGAGAGAGAGAGTGAGAGGAGAGGAGAGAGAGGAGAGAGAGAGAGAGAGAGAGAGAGAGAGAGGGGAGAGAGAGAGAGAGAGAATAATAATTTCAATTTCTAAATTACCACATAAACAAGGAGTTGAATAACTCAGTGTGAGGTGGGCCATAGAAGCCTCGTCACCATGGCAACGCGGACATAGACCTGTCTGGCTCCCAGGTAAAACCCGGTCATCAGACAAGCGTCTAACGTAGACAAACGTCATTTGCACTCAAGTGGGTCATAGGGCCAATTCTGTCTTTCGTCATTCTCTCTCTCTCATGCTAACTCTCTTGCGTCTCTGGCGGTCTCGTTGTCCTTATTAACGCTCAGTTTCAATTGACTGAAATTAACAAATCTACGAGAGAAGAGCAGAGTGAGGAGCAGAGAGAGAGTAGAGGAGTGGTCAGAGTATGAGTCATTCGACTCAGACCGATGCACGACTCTTAGAGCCTAAGAAATATAAATACGATTTCAATTGTCAAATTACCACATACAAGAATTGAATATCTAGTGTGAGGTGGACCAATAAAGCATACGTCATCTTGGCGATAACTGGATATATACCTATTACTCATAGTATAATATCTATCCACATATCACATAGTCATAAATAAATATATAACTGCCCCAACTATTTAAATTGTTCATGGCATATTTACCAGTTCGTTATTCCTTCATTATCATTTCTCCCATCTTCAATTTCCTCATCATTACTCTTCTCCCCTTATCATTCTCCATGTCTCATCTCTCCACTTGACTCAATCTTCCCTCTTTGTGTACCAATTTCATATTATAATGTTCATCATGTCTCAGTGTTCCCAGTCAAGTCCAAATGTATCAATGTATATATACATGATCACAACATATGCATCTTCAGCGATATATACCATTTCACATTACAGTATAATATATAATTATAATATACTGATTCCAATGTATATATTTAATGACATTATTAATATACATATATCATATTGATAATAGTTCCCACAGAACTAACTTTAATGAATTATTTATGATATTGTACCGCAGCGTTAGGGTCCTTTACATGTGACCAGTGTTCCCACATATGACCAGTGTTCCCACATGTGACCAGTGTTCCCACATATGATCCAGTGTTCCCACATGTGACCAGTGTTCCCACATGTGATCAATGTTCCCACATGTGACCAGTGTTCCCACATATGATCAGTGTTCCCACATGTGACAAGTGTTCCCACATATGACCAGTGTTCCCACATGTGACCAGTGTTCCCATATGTGATCAATGTTCCCACATGTGACCAGTGTTCCCACATATGATCAGTGTTCCCACATGTGACCAGTGTTCCCACATGTAATCAGTGTTCCCACATGTAATCAGTGTTCCCACATGTGATCAACAAACCTCACACCTGACACTAACCTGACGAACGGGTTCGTTACCTCCACAAAATATTAATTGCATGCATTCACTGTGATACATGCACAATCCACCACGAGTACGTGTTGAACACACACACACACACAACACACACACACACACACACACACACACACACACACACACACACACACACACACACACACCACACACACACACACACACACACACACACACACACACACATCACACTGTTGATTCAACGATAAATTTTTATTAATTTTTATTAAAAAAGCATAGAAAGGCGTTATAATATACGTTTAAGAAAATTCCAAACCTTTGCTACCGTCTGTGAAGTATACTCCTGCATGCAAAGTCTACGTCATATATATACATACATAATATATATATATATATATTATATATATATATATATATATATATATAATTATATATATATATTATATAATACGAAGAGCAAATTAGCTGTGGTAATAATGGGTTCAACTTCCCTGAATGGTATTGAGGATATTCTCACTACGTGTGGATTTACATATTTTTTTATTTCAGAATATTGACCTCCATCGCTGGTGACATGTGAGGAGGTCACACCACTGAAGTTGTAAGTTGACTGCACTTATAAAACTACACTCTCAAGTCATATTATTATTATTGCCATTAGTATTAGACATTTTGGCCGTAACCATTCGGGAATATGCCACTATATGATACAAGGAGTTTATTATAACACGATAGCTTTTGTTTTCTAAAGAATGCACGAGAAATATTAGGTTATTAGCATATACGTATAGTTGCAAATCAGTAAGTTACTGGTGACCAGCAGGATGCCAGAATGTCCTTGCCTGCGAGGGACCGAGAAATGGAAAACGTTAGAAGAGGTTACGACTACAACCACTAGAAAATTTGAGGCATTATATACTTAATTCCCAAGACGGAACATAGCGAGTTTAGATTACACGTAAACAATTACACACACACACACACACACACACACACACACACACACACACACACACACACACAATTATTCGAGGGGAAGGAGGCATTAAGTTCCACAGCATTGTGTCAATATAGGCCAATCTTGTAAGTTCCCTTCGTATACTCAAGTATACACACAACTTATCACTGGTATAATATTGATATTGCTCTCTGTTGTCTACTGACGAAACACAGTCTCAGGTCACTGGTCGCAGCAAATATTCAAAACACTTACATCGCATGGTAAACAACAAATGTATTTGACATATATTATATCCAGGGATTCAGGTGACTATCCTACCGTCTCCTCCATGCTTGAACGTCGTTCCGTCACGTCAAGTTTTGACGCATTCCATCGAAGACTTATGTATCCGTCGTGTGGAGTTACGGAAGGTATAACGATGACAGATTACGTCTCCCTTGCGCCGTCAGGAGCCTGTAAACACCTTGTGATAAGTCAGTTCCTGAGGATGGTAGACAGAAACTTGGTGCTGACCTCACCTATTTTATAGGTAACGTTTCGCTCTGGGTAGAGTTTGATCATTATTTGATAAAGCTCTATTCAAAGCGAAACGTTTGGTCAGCACCAGTTGTCTCTCTTCTACACTTTCAGGTCCTGGAAGGGCGTGGGTTACACTCGGAGCGACGGAGTGGGAAAAAGAGGGAATGAGTTGTGGATGGGTCGCCTAGTACCGGAGGCAGCTCACTGGGTCGCTTCAAACCATCTATCACAGACTCTAACTAAAACAACAAAACACTTGAAAGCTCTA